ATAAGTAGCATAATAGACTTCAGATCCATTTTATTCCCTGAGTCCAGCCCTTATTAAGATTCTACACAGCAGGGAGAGGACATGAAGATACAGCAAAAGACAATGAAAGACTCATGAGAAGGGAGGGTAATCAGAGAAGGGGAAGAGAGTTTCTGAGCCTGACTTTAAAAGAGGGAAAGAAATAGAACAAGTAGGAATGGAGTATACACTCACTTAAAGAGAAATAAACAAATGGGAAATGTGTATTTCCTAAATAGACTTCCATACTTGGCGGAGAGCATCTATGTAAGGCAATAATGAGAAAAGAATGGTAAAGTAGGAAACGGACGGTGATTGTGCAAAGGCCTTGAAGCAGAGAATTTTGATTTAAGAGTGGAAACTCAATGGAAAGGAAAATCTGCTTAAAAGAAGTGTTTAAAATGTTTCAGTGTATGACTGTAAAATGGATATATGGGTAGAAAGTATATAGAGAGACACTGAAAAAAAAAACAATCTAAATTGACTTTAGTCCTTTCAGCTCAAAAACAGTGTACCATTGCATTCCCCTCCTCTTTCAAAACGGAGGCAAGCTTGAGCTCTGCGTTTGGGGTATGAGATGCGATATAATTTTCTTTTCTTCCTACAGGATATGCTTTCCCTTATTAATCAAAAAGGGTCCCTCACAGAATGCATCTTCAGCAAATCACCCAATATAAAATCAACCAGGGTCCTAAAGGAGAAACTAAATTCTGGGGTCAAAGTGGACCTGTACAGCGAATCTGTTCATGTGGTCGCATCCGTCTTAAAGGTAGGGAAGGTTCTAGCATTATCCACACACGAGTAACTGAAGCTATGATTGGTGTCTTTCATCATGACTGCTCAAGAACCATAATGGGCATAATAGATTAAGAACCTGACAAGCTGAAAAACGCTTGACAAAATCAAAATTTAAGGAAGCTACTTTAGGAGTTAAAAGCCCCATATGTTAGAAATTCTTTCTGTTTTCACCACACACCGCCTACCCTGCCTTCACTCCTGAAGTCGCCATGCAAAATACTAATACTGAAATGACTACTAGTCATGATAATAAATTTCAAAATACGCACTGACACATACACACTGTTTACCCATGCAAACATTCTCACCACCCTCCTAGTGAAGGCAAAGTTTCCAAAAGAAATAGAACAGGGAAAGAATTTAATCCATCCACCTTGGCACTTATGAACAGCTCTGAACAACCCTATGTTAACGTAGTAATGACTACAGTCTTAGAATCTCAGTCACATTTGGTCTTCCCTTGTCCCCCGTTAATGTTCGAAGATGTGATCAATAGCAAAGTCCAGAAATGACTTAGGTAACCACTCCTACACTGCGGTCATAGTGATATCCAGTAGTAATATACATATAGGCATCAGGAGACAGGAGAAGAATGCTGATACATTACGTAGCAAGATGAGTGTTGCCCTCTGTAAGGTGAGCACATGGAATCGATTTTCTAGCAAGAGTTAGGAGGTTCCGGGTGCCTGGGTGGCTCAGTTGGTTAAGCGACTGCCTTCGGCTCAGGTCATGATCCCGGAGTCCTGGGATCGAGTCCCACATCGGGCTCCCGGCTCAGCAGGGAGCCTGATTCTCCCTCTGACCCTATCCCCTCTCATGCTGTTTCTCTCTCTCTCTCTTTTAAATAAATAAATAAATAAAATCTTTAAAAAAAAAATCATTAAAAAAAAAAAGAGTTAGGAGGTTCCTTCCTGATTCGGTGTTATAAGCACCGACTAGGAAGAGGGTATGCACATGTGGGCATAGTGCTTAGACATTTTTAAAGTTTTCTCTTCCTGAAGTTGATGGATCTTGGTGGAGAAACAGACTCTGCAACTTTGGCCTTGATAATATCATGTCAAAAAACTGGGAATGGACCTAATCTAGAAATGAATCTATCCTCAGGACCTCAGTGAGTCTACTATTAGACTCTCGACTTTTAGACAGTTAAGAAAAGGAAGAATGAAGCAATTGTGCGAGTAGCTTTCTTCCAGGGAGCACACATACCCCGAGTGAGAAGACCTAGTTCTTTCCTAATATGTGTGCAAGAGCCCACCTGTTTCTGTTTCGATTGTTTCAGGCCTTTTCTTGCTAGAGTTAAGAGCTAGCACTGTGTCTAAAACAAGCAACATGGGTAAGCGTATTTCTGTCCAAGAAGCTAATAGGATTTAGGATGGTCTATAGCCAGACCCTGTCAGTTTGTGGTACTTTGCAAAAAAAGCACACAAAGAAAATAAGTTCTAGATGATAGAAGGGAGCTTTATCTTCATTTCTACCACAGCCTAAGCTCTGCTTTAATGCCTCTAAGATTTAGGGGGAGAATATCCAAGCACTTGATGCTGCGTGTGCAAGTCAATGGAGAGTCAGAGCCAAGCTCCGTGTGGGTCCCAGTTTGGGTATCTGTGAAGGAAGTGGGGGCTGAACTGAATTTTTTAACTACATATTTTCTCTGTAATATTTCCAATACATATTTTCTGTAATATATATACATATTTATTTTTATCTCCACAAGTATTTCCTAAGAAATATCCCAGGATGTATATTTTTGTCTGATCTCTATGACAAATGGCTCGGTGTTATTGATCAAGGGAACGAAGAGGAGAAGATGACTGCAGCGCGGAGGTAACGATGCAATAATTACTCTACTCTGGTCACATCTCCAAAATACACCCAACATACTATTAGGAAAACATTGGCTTACGTTTTGCAGCTTTGGCCACTATAATCATGACGAATGTCAAAGAGTTTCAATTCTTCAAAGCCATGGGGGTCAGCTTCAGAATAGAGGCACGCTTTAGGGCTATTATTGTTCTTCTCCTGATCTTATTAATGTGGACTCCTTGGCCGTTTGACACCTTCTGGATCCATGAACCTTGTAGACGAAATTCCCTGGTTCAAGACACATGCAAGAGCATCAACTGCCAGGGCTATGACCTTAAAAGTCTGTCAAACATTTAACTAACCAGAGAAGTGTTTATCTGGCTCAGGAACTAAATTCAGTGCAACAATTTTGTCTACATTCATGCCTGGAACTCTGCTAGAGAGGGGTTGTGTGCTAGATATACAAGGATGTATCCTTTTCCCTGTCTCTGTTTTTCCAACCTCTTAAGTGGAATCATTTACCTAATTTAAAGTGTGTTTTTCTGACCTTAGGCTTTTAGCCCAGCTGCCAAGAGCAAATATTGTTCTCTTGCGATACCTTTTTGGAGTGCTATACAACATTGAGCAACATTCCTCATCCAATCAGATGACAGCTTATAATTTATCCGTTTGTATAGCCCCAAGCGTTCTTTACCCACCTGATTCCGGCACCTTGGAATTGGAAGACAACTTGATAAAAAAGGTAATGAGAGCTCTCATTTTTGTCCCCCAAGGGGTAGAAACCCTACTTTGAACCGGACATGTGCAGTAGTAACTCTGACGGATGGAACCTTGTGAAGTGCACATTTTCGTTAGGCCCCTGTGGAGTGGCAGAGTTCTTTAGGCTACTCTGGCGGGGTCTGGGAAGGGGTGTCGTTAAACGGGAAACTCGGAGCAGTCGAGTCACTTCTTCACCCTCCAGGAGACTAAACACTAGACTGACTAAACGAGAGAGAGAAGAGTCGTGTGATACGATAGGAAAGAACCTGGGCTTTGGAGCTTCACCAGTCAAGGTTCAACTCTCAGCCTAATCCCTGAGGGACTCGTAACCTTGGGCAAAGCCATGGTTTCCTCACTACACAATGGCGACAACAGCCAGCTCCTCCGGTCATCACTGGCACATCCTGGGTGGCTTGGGCAATATGAGCCCCCATGGCTCCAAACACATTGGCCTTCCTCTGCCAATTGTGGCTCATCTAGAAAAGTACTCAGCTACTATTTCACCTCTGCTACGTCATATGGAAACTAGCAAGAGATTCCAGAATATCCTAATAAGATGACAGGTCTTCCCCAAGCTCACACAGAGAGAGCCAGCATGAGGCAAAGCAATGCGTGAGAAGGGACTGAAGTTAGACAGACAGATACATTTTCTCTCCAGCTGTGTGGGTTTTCCCTCACAACCCCACCAAAATCTCTGCTTCCCAACTTTAAGATACTTCTTCATTTAAGAAATGGTTTTCTTAAGTTTTTGTTCATACTTTATATAAAGTTTCATAAGATGTTATACATCAGTTACAGCTCAGTAAAACTGGAAACAAAATTTAAAAACATAAAATAAGTAAACTTTAATAAGGTAGGCTACTTTGAAAATTATCCTTGTTTTATTTATATTTTGATATGTATTTATTTGAGAGAGGGAAAGAGAGAGAGTGAGCGGGTCAGGGGAAGAAGAAGAGGGAGAGGGAGAGGGAGAAGCCCAAGCCCATTCCCCGCTGAGCACGGAGCCCAAAGTTGGCTCCATGTTGGGCAGGATCTCACCATCATGAGATAGTGATCTGAGCCAGAATCAAGAGTCAGATTCTCAACTGAGGGGCCCCAAAAATTATCCTAGGCTTAATGATGTAACCACTGATACCAAAATGTTGGCTATTAAACTAGGCCACATATTAAAACTTTAGCCTACTGATTAGCAGTATTTTAAAATGTGTACCCAAAGTACACGGAAAAGTATCACTCTTCCTAAGTTATTTCTTAGAGAATTCTGGTCTCTGTTTTTTATTTTATTATTTTTTTTAAGATTATATTTATTTTCTTGACAGAGGCAGACACAGCGAGAGAGGGAACACAAGCAGGGGGAGTGGGAGAGGGAGAATCAGGCTTCCCGCTGAGCAGGGAGCCCAATGTAGGGCTGATCGCATCACCCTGGGATCATGAGCTGAGCTGAAGGCAGACGCTTGACCGATTGAGCCACCCAGGCGCTCCTGGTCTCTATGTATTTTTATCAGTTCTGAATTTTTCTGGGAAATCTTTCACATTCTTTCTTAGATCCAAGGTCTATATACATAATGTGATTTATAACTATGCCCTATGGAAAAGAGCACCCCATTCTTGTCTTTTTGTGTTACAGATTTCTCTTGTACAATTTCTCATTGAAAATTGCCTTAAAATATTTGGAGAAGACATCACTTCCCTCTTGGGAGAGAACTCAATGAGTCGTGATAACAGCGAGCAGGCTGCAGGTACCAGGAATAATTTTATTGGCTTTAGTGAGAAGCAGACAGCAAGGCTGCCAGGGGTCATGGGAGATGCTTAGACAGAGCTGTTCTGGAGCCCAGAGCATCGCCAGGGCAAGGATTTCCATGGGCTCCTTCGTCCGAAGGCTGGCTCACAGGTCAAGGGAGGTTCCACACTGTTGTGAGACCAAAGAAAGGATAAGATGAGGTCTCTGACTTCAAGAAGTTTCTAGTGTAGATCATAACAGAATTAGGACTCATCATGGTATGCCACAGTGTTTGGGAACTTTTTCTCACAAAATTTAAATGGGTGCTATATATATATCTATGTAGTTATATATATTACATAATTATATACTGATACTATATAAATATATAAACATAATGTATATATTTATGTATATTACATGTGCGCTGGTTGAAGCCAGAGAAAGGGGCCTTTCTTCCCCTCCCTCCTCTTTTGGCTCAGGGGCTCTTGAGGCACCACAGGATTCCAGTGCCCTTTGAAATGGGTTGAAAAGAATTGGCATCTTTGAGAAAAAAGAACTTGACTTGATGTCAAACAACCTCTCCAGAGTGTAAATTCCTGTACCCCCATTTACCAGCTATATTATCTTTGGCCCGTTATAGCAGCTAAGCATCAGTTTATTCATCTCTAAAATGTGGATAAAAATAATGTCTAAATCTTAGAATTGTGGTGTAGAATAAATAAGATGATGGATGTAATTCAAAAAAAGCCATTAATAGCACTAGGAGAAGTGCCCCTGACACTAGAGGTAGTATGATTTGAGCCTAGCTAATCAGACCTAACTGGCAGCAGTCCACCTTAGAAGGTAGACTTTCGATTCAGAACCTGGAGACACGTATCATCAATCCCTCCATATTTTTGACATTTCTTGTTTTCATGACACGTACCACATACTTTGAGGAAAGTTTTAGGAAAATACAAGTCATCAGGAATTAAGATGAGTCTGAGGCACCTGGGTGGCTCAGTCGTTAAACATCTGCCTTCAGCTCAGGTCATGATACTGGGGTCCTGGTACCGAGCCCCGAGTCGGGCTCCCTGCTCCAAGGGAAGCCTGCTTCTCCCTCTCCCCCGCCCCCTACTTGTGTTCCCTCTCTTGCTGTCTCTCTCTCTCTGTCAAAAAATAAATAAAATCTGTAAAAAAAAAAAAAAAAAGGAAAAAGAAGGTTCAACATATTAAACAACAACTACTACTACGAGTACTCTCACTTCTTCCTTAGACTCCAGCCTGAAGACTGTGAAAACCCGTTCTTTCAGAGATAGGGCGTTTTGTCGGGGTTCCAGCACTTCCCAGCACAACCAGTGCACAGCCCCATCTTCCGCAAAGCCAGGACAGCTCTTTGGAGTTCCCCTCATGGATGTGTGTGATAAAGACAACTTCTCCTTCCCAATTCTGGTAGGTCATCTCATTTTGGTCTTCAATAGCCCTCCTGAGAAGGGGAAACTCTGAGAGGCCAAGCGTCCTCATCCAAATCTATCCCCAAATGAAGATGTCATTAGACAGCTCCTGGCTTTGGTTGAGAAGCTCTGTTACTGTTATTTCAAAGAATAGAATCTGATTTCGGTCCTGCAGAGTCATGAGGCAAATACAACAGGAAAAGTCATTCTTCTCCATTCCACTTGGGTCTTGTTTCCACAAAGACATGCGGAGGCTTGTTCAGATCAGTCAAAATGGACTCTGTGTATGTGAGTCTCTGAGAGTCCACCTCATCTTCACACTCTCCCTTCATTGCCTTCCTGAATTCACATGAGTCTCAAGTCTCCTTCAGCGGAGTCTACTCAGTCTAACAATTGTAAACATCTGACACAAGCATAGACTCATCCTCTGGCAAATAGGAATCTGTTAATCCTAACAGAATATGTCAAATGAAAGCCACAGAGTTTGGTCTGTGTTATCTCAAACTGCTGTAGTGAATTGTCAGTGTGGACATTCACTGAGTATTCGGTGTCTCTGCAAGTACTGTACGGGATGTAGGGAACGTTCCGCTAGCTATGAAGAAATGTATCATCTTAGCTAGCATGTTACCTGCTAGCTACTACCCCAGTTCCTTGCATCACAGAAATTTAGGGGCTAGCTAGGATTATCATCCTCCGCACTGCCTAAACGAATCAGAAAAGCCTCAGTACAGGATGTGTGTGACCCAGCTCACACAATAGATAAGTAGCATAATAGACTTCAGATCCGTTGGATTCCCTGAGTCCAGCCCTTATTAAATTTCTACACAGCAGGGAGAGGACATGAAGATACAGCAAAAGACAATGAAAGACTCATGAGAAGGGAGGGTAATCAGAGAAGGGGAAGAGAGTTTCTGAGCCTGACTTTAAAAGAGGGAAGGAAATAGAACAAGTAGGAATGGAATATACAGTCACTTAAAGAGAAATAAACAAATTGGAAATGAGTATTTCCTAAATAGACTTCCATACTTGCGGAAAAGCATGTATGTAAGGGAAAAATGTGAAAAGAATGGGAAACTAGGAAACAGACGGTGATTCCGCAAAGGCCTTGAGACAGAGAAGTTTGATTTAAAAGTGTAAACTTAGTGGAAAATCTGATTAAAAGAAGTGTTGAAAATGTTTCAGTGTATGACTGTAAAATGGATATATGGGTAGAAAGTATATAGAGAGACACTGAAAAAACAGCAATCTAAATTGACTTTAGTCCTTCCCGCTCTAAAACATTGTACCATTACATTCCCCTTTTCTTTCAAAACGGAGGCAGGCATGGTATATGAGATGCCATATACTTTTCTTTTCTTCCTACACGGTATGCTTTCCTTTATTAATCAAAAACGGCCACTCGCAGAAGGCATATTCAGAAACTCAGCCAATATAAAATCCCGCAGAGTCCTAACGGAGAAACTAAATTCTGGGATCAAAGTGAACCCGTACAGGGAATCTATTCATGTGTTCGCATCCGTCTTAAAGGTAGGGAAGGTTCTAGCATTATCCACATGTGAGTAACTGAAGGGATGATGGGTGTCCTTCATCATGACTGCTCAAGAACCATAACGGGCATAGTAGATTAAGAACCTGACAAGCTAAAAAACGCTTGACAAAATCAAAATGTAAGGAAGCTACTTTAGGAGTTAAAAGCCCCATGTGTTAGAAATACTTTCTGTTTTCACCACACACGGCCCTCCGCACCTTCACTCCTGAAGACTCCATGCAAAATACTAATACTGAAATGACTACAGTCATGATACTAAATTTCAAAATACGCACTGACACAAACACACTGTTTACCGAAGCAGACATCCTCACCACCCTCCTAATGAAGGCAAACTTTCCAAAAGAAATAGAACAGGGAGGGGCGCCTGGGTGGCTCAGATGGTTAAGCGTCTGCCTTCGGCTCAGGTCATGATCCCAGTGTCCTGGGATCGAGCCCCGCATCGGGCTTCCTGCTCAGCGGGGAGCCTGCTTCTCCCTCTCCCTCTGCCTCTCTCCCTCCTCATGCTCTCTCCCTCTCTATCTCTGTGTCTCAAATGAATAAGAAAAAAAAAAAAAAGAAGAAATAGAACAGGGAAAGAATTTAATCCATGCAGCTTGGCACTTATGAACAGCTCTGACAAACCCTATGTTAATGTAGTACTGACTACAGTCTTAGAATCTCAGTCACATTTGGTCTTCCCTTGTCCCCCATTAATGTTCGAAGATGTGATCCATAGCAAAGTCCATAAATGACTTAGGTAACCACTCCTACACTGGGGCCATAGTGATATCCAGTAGTAATATACATATAGGCATCAGGAGACAGGAGAAGAATGATGATACACTAGGTAGCAAGATGAGTGTTGCCCTCTGTAAGGTGCACACATGGAATCGATTTTCTAGCAAGAGTTGGCAGGTTCTTTCCTGATTCTGTGTTATAAGCACTGACAAGGAGGAGCGTGAGCACTTCTGGGTATAGTGCTTAGACATTTCTAAAGTTTTCTCTTCCTGAAGTTGACGGATCTTGGTGGAGAATCAGACTCTGCAACCTTGGCCTTGATAATATCATGGCAAACTAACTGGACAATTGTCCTAAACTAGAAATGAATCTATCCTCAGGACCACAGTGAGTCTGCCTTTAGACTCTCGACTTTTAGACAGTTAAGAAAAGGAAGAATGAAGCAATTGTGAGAGTAGCTTTCTTCCAGGGAGCACACATACCCCGAATGAGAAGACCTATTTCTTGCCTAATGTGTGTGCAAGAGCCCACCTGTTTGTGTTTTGATTGTTTCAGGCCTTTTCTTGCTAGAATTAAGAGCTGGCGCTGTGTCTAAAACAAGCAACATGAGTATGTGTATTTCTGTCCAGGAAGCTAATAGGATTTAGGATGGTCTATAGCCAGACCCTGTCAGTTTGTGGTACTTTGCAAAAAAAGCACACACACAAAATAAGTTCCAGATGATAGAAGGGAGCTTTATCTTCATTTCCACCACAGACTAAGCTCTGCTTTATGCCTCTAAGTTTTAGTGGGAGAAAATCCAAGCACCTGCTCCTGCGTGTGCAAGTCAATGGAGAGTCAGAGCCGAGCACCGTGTGGGTCACAGTTTGGGTATCTGTGAAGGAAGTGGGGGCTGAACTGAATTTTTTAACTACATATTTTCTCTGGAATATTTCCATTACATATTTTCTATAACATATATACATAGTTTTTTTTTTTTTTATCTCCCTAAGGATTTTCTTAGAAATATACACGGAAGTATATTTTTATCTGATCACTATGACAAATGGCTCGGTGTTATTGATCAAGGCAACGAAGAGGAGAAGATAACTGCAGCCCAGAGGTAATGATGCAATAATTACTCTGGTCACATCTCCAAAATACAGCCAACATACTATTAGGAAAACATTGGCTTACGTTTTGCAGCTTTGCTCACTATAATCATGACCAATGCCAAAGAGTTTCCATTCTTCACACCCATGGGGGCCAGGTTCATAATGGAGACACACTTTAGGGCCATTATCGTTCTTTTCCTTATCTTATTAATGTGGAATCCTTGGCCGTTTTACATCTTTTGGATACATGAAACTGTTAGGGGAAATCCCCTGGTCCAAGACAGATGCAAGAACATCAATTGCCAGGGCTATGAGCTTAAAGGTCTGTCAAACATTTAACTAACCAGAGAAGATTTTATCTGGCGCAGGAACTGAAGTCAGGGCAACAATTTTGTATACATTCATGCCTGGAACTCTGCTACAGCGGGTTGTGTGCTAGATATACAAGGATGTATCCTGTTCCCTGTCTTTTTTTTCAACCTCCTAAGTGGAATCACTTGCCTAATTTAAATGTGTATTTTTCTGACCTTAGGCTTTTACCCCAGCTGCCAAGAGGAAATGTTGTTCTCCTGCGATACCTTTTTGGAGTGCTATACAACATTGAGCAACATTCCTCATCCAATCAGATGACAGCTTATAATTTATCCGTTTGTATAGCCCCAAGCGTTCTTTACCCACCTGATTCCGGCACCTTGGAATTGGAAGACAACTTGATAAAAAAGGTAATGAGAGCTCTCATTTTTGCCCCCATGGGGTAGAATCCCTACTTTGAACCGGACATGTGCAGTAGTAACTCTGACGGATGGAACTTTGTGAAGTGCACATTTTCATTAGGCCCCTGTGGAGTGGCAGAGTTCTTTAGGCTACTCTGGCGGGGTCTGGGAAGGGGTGTCGTTAAACGGGAAACTCGGAGCAGTCGAGTCACTTCTTCCCCCTCCAGGAGACTAAACACTAGACTGACTAAACGAGAGAGAGAAGAGTCATGTGATACGATAGGAAAGAACCTGGGCTTTGGAGCTTCACCAGTCAAGGTTCAACTCTCAGCCTAATCCCTGAGGGACTCGTAACCTTGGGCAAAGCCAAGGTTTCCTCACTACACAATGGCGACAACAGCCAGCTCCTCTGGTCATCACTGGCACATCCTGCGTGGCTTGGGCAATATGAGCCCCCATGGCTCCAACCACATTGGCCTTCCTCTGCGAATTGTGGCTCATCTAGAAAAGTACTCAACTACTATTTCACCTCTGCTACATCTTATGGAAACTAGCAAAAGATTCCAGACCATCCTAGCAAGATGACAGGTCTTCCCCAAGCTCACACAGAGAGAGCCAGCATGAGGCAAACCAATGTGTGAGAAGGTACTGAATTTAGACAGACAGATACGTTTTCTGTCCAGCTGTGTGGGTTTTCCCTCACAACCCCACCAAAATCTCTGCTTCTCAACTTTAAGATTCTTCTTCATTTAAGAAATGGTTTTCTTAAGTTTTCGTTCATACTTTATAAAGTTTCATAAGATGTTATACATCAGTTACAGCTCAATAAAACTGGAAACAAAATTTAAAAACAAAAAACAGGTAAACTTTAATAAGGTAGGCTACTTTGAAAATTATCCTAGTTTTATTTATTTTTTGATATTTATTTTTTTGAGAGAGGGAAAGAGAGCGTGAGCGGGGCAGGGGCAGAAGAAGAGGGAGAGGGAGAAGCCCAAGCCCATTCCCCGCTGAGCACGGAGCCCAAAGTTGGCTCCATGTGGGGCTGTATCTCACCACCATGAGATCGTGATCTGCACCGAAATCAAGAGTCAGACGACCAACAGAGGGGCCCCGAAATTTATCCTAGGCTTAAAGACGTAACCACTGATCCCAAAATGTTAGCTCTTAAACTAGGCCACGCATTATAACTTTAGCCCACCGATGGGCAGTATTTTAAAATGTGTACCCAAAGTACACGGGAAAGTATCACTCTTTCTAAGTTATTTCTGAGAGAACTCTGGTTTCTATTTGTTTCTGTTTTTTTGTGTTTTTTTTTTAACTTTTATTTATTTACTTGACTGAAAGAGACACAGCGAGAGAGGGAACACAAGCAGGGGGAGTGGGAGAGGGAGAAGCAGGCTTCCCGCTGAGCAGGGAGCGCGATGTAGGGCTGATCCCAGCACCCTGGGATTATGACCTGAGCCGAACGCAGACGCTTAACCGACTGAACCACCCAGGCGCCCCTGGTTCCTACATATTTTTATCAACTCTGAATTTTTCTGAGAAGTCCTTCCCATTTTTTCTTAGATCCAAGGTCTGTATACAAAATGTGATTTATAACTATGCCCTATGGAAAAGAGCACCTCATTCTTGTCTTTTTGTGTTACAGATTTGTCTTGTACAATTTCTCATTGAAAATTGCCTCAGGATATTTGGAGAAGACATCACTTCCCTCTTGGGCGAGAACTCAATGAGTCGTGGTAACAGCGAGAAGGCTGCAGGTACCGGGAGTAATTTAATTGGCTTTAGTGAGAAGCAGACAGCAAGGTTGCCAGGGGTCATGGGAGATGCTTAGACAGAGCTGTTCTGGAGCCCAGAGCATCGCCAGGGCAAGGATTTCCATGGGCTCCTTCTTCCGAAGGCTGGCTCACAGGTCAAGGGAGGTCCCACACTGTTGTGAGACCAAAGAAAGGATAAGATGAGGTGTCTGACTTCAAGAAGTTTCTAGTGTAGATCATAAGGGCATTAGGACTCATCATGGTATGCTACAGTGTTTGGGAATTTTTTCTAACAAAATTCTAAGTGGGTGCTATATATCTCTATATATATACAACATCATACATATATATGTAGTTATATAGATATATAATATATAATTAGATACTTATACTATATAAATATAACCATAGTATATATATTTATGTATATTAGATGTGCTCTGGTTGAAGCCAGAGCAAGGGGCCTTTCTTCCCCTCCCTCCTCTTTTGGCTCAGGGGCTCTTGAGGCACCACAGGATTCCAGTGCCCTTTGAAACAGGTTGAAAAGAACTGGCATCATTGAGAAAAAAGGACTTGACTTGATGTCAAAAAACCTCTCCAGAGTGTAAAGTCCTGTGCCCCCATTTACCAGCTATATTACCTTTGATCAGTTTTTCTAGCTCAGCATCAGTTTATTCATCTATAAATGTGGATAAAAATAATGTCTAAATCTTAGAATTGTGGTAAACACTAAATAAGATGATGGATGGAATCCCCAAAAAGCCATTAATAGGACTAGGAGAAGTGCCCCTGAGACTAGAGCTAGTACGATTTGAGCCTAGCTAATCACAGCTACCTGGCAGCAGTCCACCTTAGAAGGTAGACTTTTGATTCAGAACCTGGAGACACGTATCATCAATCCCTCCATATTTCTGACATTTCTTGGTTTTATGATGCTTACCACATTGCTTTGAGGAAATCTTTAGGAAAATACAAGTCATCAGGAATTAAGATGTGTCTGGGACGCCTGGGTGGCTCAGTCATTAAGCGTCTGCCTTCAGCTCAGGTCATGATGCCGGGGTCCTGGGATCGAGCCCCGCATCGGGCTCCCTGCTCCGAGGGAAGCCTGCTTCTCCCTCTCCCCCTCCCCCTGCTTGTGTTCCCTCTCTCGCTGTCTCTCTCCCTCTTTCAAAATATAAATAAAATCTGTAAAAAAAAAAAAAAAAAAAAAAGGAAAATGAAGGTTCCGCGTATTAAACAAGAACTACTACTACTAGTACTCTCTCTTCCTCCTTAGACTCCGGCCGTAAGACTGTGACAAGCCGTTCTCTCAGTGACAGGGTCTTTTGTCAGGGTTCGAGCACTTGTCAGCACAACCAGTGCACAGCCCCACCTTCCGCAGAGCCAGGACAGCTCTTTGGAGTTCCCCTCATGGATGTGTGTGATAAAGACAACCTGCCCTTCCCAATTCTGGTAGGTCATCTCCTTTTGGTCTTCTAGAGCCCTCCTGAGGAGGGGAAACTCTGAGAGGCCACGTGTCCTCATCCAAATCTATCCCCAAATGGAGAAGTCATTAGACGGCCCCTGGCTTTGGCTGAGAAGCTCTGTTACTGTTATTTCAAGGAACAGAATCTGACTTAGGTCCAGCAGAGTCATGAGGCAAATACAACAGGAAAAGACATTCTTGTCCATTCCACTTGGGTTTTGTTTCCGCAAAGACCCACCGAGGCCTGTTCAGATCAGTCAAAATGACTGTGTGTATGTGAGTCTCTGAGAGTCCACCTCATCTTCACACTCTCCCTTCATTGCCTTCCTGCACTCACATGAGTCTCAAGTCTCCTTCAACGGAGTCTACTCAGTCTAACAACTGCAAACATCTGACACGAGCATAGACTCATCCTCTGGCAAATAGGAATCTGTTAATCCTAACAGAATATGTCAAATGAAAGCCACAGAGTTTGGCCTGTGTTGTCTCAAACTGCTGTAGTGAATTGTCAGTGTGGACCTTCACTGAGTATTCGGTGTCTCTGCAAGCACTGTACGGGATGTAGGGAACGTTCTCCTAGCTATGAAGAAATGTATCATATTAGCTACTTTGTTACCTGCTAGCTACTACCCCAGGTCCTTGCATCACAGCAAATTTAGGGGCTAGCTAGGATTATCATCCTCCACACTTCCTAACCGAATCAGAGAAGCCTCAGTACAGGATGTAAGTGACCCAGCTCACACAATAGATAAGTAGCGTAATAGACTTCAGATCCGTTGGATTCCCTGAGTCCAGCCCTTATTAAGATTCTACACAGCAGAGAGAGGACATGAAGATAGAGCAAAAGACATTTTAAGACTCATGAGAAGGGAGGGTAATCAGAGAAGGAGAAGAGAGTTTCTGAGCCTGACTTTAAAAGAGGGAAGGAAATAGAACAAGTAGGAAAGGAGTATACAGTCACTTAAAGAGAAATAAACAAATGGGAAATGAGTATTCCCTAAATAGACTTCCATACTTGGGGAAGAGCATCTACGTAGGGGAATAATGAGAAAAGAATGGTAAAGTAGGAAACAGACGGTGATTCCGCAAAGGCCTTGAAGCAGAGAAGTTTGATTTAAGAGTGGAAACTCAATGGAAAGGAAAATCTGATTAAAAGAAGTGTTTAAAATGTTTCAGTGTATGACTGTAAAATGGATATTTCGGTAGAAAGTATATAGAGAGACACTGAAAAAAAAAAAAAAAACAACATTCTAAATTGACTTTGGTCCTTCCCGCTCTAAAACAGTGTACCATTACATTCCCCTCCTCTTTCAAAACGGAGGCAAGCTTATGCTCTGCGTTTGTGGATATGAGATGCCATATACTTTTCTTTTCTTCCTACAGGCTATGCTTTCCTTTATTAATCAAAAAGGGCCCCTCACAGAAGGCATATTTAGAAACTCAGCCAATATAAAATCCTGCCATGTCCTAAAGGAGAAACTAAATTCTGGGGTCAAAGTGAACCCGTACAGCGAATCTGTTCATGTGGTCGCATCCGTCTTAAAGGTAGGGAAGGTTCTAGCATTATCCACACACGAGTAACTGAAGCTATGATTGGTGTCCTTCATCATGACTGCTCAAGAACCATAACGGGCATAATAGATTAAGAACCTGACAAGCTGAAAAACGCTTGACAAAATCAAAATGTAAGGAAGCTACTTTAGGAGTTAAAAGCCCCATGTGTTAGAAATACTTTCCGTTTTCACTACACACCGCCCTCCCCACCTTCACTCCTGA